CACCCACATCTCCTACAGAGCTTGGGCTGCCCCGCATAGACCAGATAGCCTCTACTGCCCCGATATTCAAGGCGTTTGAGATGTGCCACAGGGCCCCTTCCACCATTCTTAGTCTTACCCGCCACTGCCTGGCACCTGTCCAAATACCCAGTGCATCCTGGAGCCGTTTGCACCCCGACAGCAGTAGGTAATGTTGTCGCAGCCAGACTTCCACATCGTAGTCCGGCAGAGCCTCATTGTAGAAAAACACCGTTATTACCTTAGTGTCAAGCTCAGACAAAAGTTGCAACTTGAAGAAAGATAGCGACCTCTCCCCAGGTTTTTCTTCAAACTGCGTCATGAAGTCCTGTAGCAGGTTGTTCGTCCTGAAACTGACATCAAAGGTCTGGCCACCTGGCAGGGCTATCAGACAGAACAAGTCCTTAGAGTCCACCTGCAATTTCCCGACCACCACAGTCCTCACAAAACTCGCACGATCAATGGTGACATCGTCCGGCACATCTTCTTTGAATACCATCCGGACAAAGTTGTGTCTCTTGGCGTGGACCGGTGCGAAATTTACACCGGTCCCACCGCACCACCGCCCTGCGGGTAGCTGGGGTCTTCCTGCGCCCACAGGTCCGTGCCTTCCTTCATCAGCCATGCTCTGGGCTCCATGCGCCTGCCGGCCTGCAAGGTCCGTCTTCTCCTCTGCCTCCCCACTCAGGCTGGTAGGGGCCACCTCCCTCTGCTCCGGTACCTCTGCTTGCCCATCGCCTCCAGGCTTCCTCCCAAGCCCACCTCCTCTCGGTCGAGGTCGATGCCTGCGCTTCGTCGCTTTCCTCCACCGACCTCTGTCCTCCAGGCAGCCGCACCTCAGCATCCCCCACCTCAGCAGTCGTCGTCGGGGGTCGATCGTCCTTGCTCGCCTCGGCAGCCCGGCTGATCTCGATGCTGGTTGGAAAATAAAAAAGTGGCAAAGCAGCCACTGGCCTGACAGCCAGGGTGCCTGCTCGGGGCAAGGAATAACAAACCGATCACGACAATTAGGCTTGGCGAGGTCCGCTCCAGATTGCAGCAGCCCCAACTGTGAGTCGGAGCTCGCCTTATATCCTGAACAGCGTGGCCAGGCTCCGCCCTTGGCCCCGCACCTCTCTGGATCCCCCAGAGGGCTCCGTGCCTTGCCCACAGGTGCAACAGGTAGAACGGGCTGTTACCCCCAGCGGCACGCGCTACAGTGACTCATTCCCTGTCACTACAAAGGTGTAGTATGCACGACTCATAATTAATCAGGACTCGATACCACAGACACGAAGCAACTTTGATACTCATTTATGAATGGACACTCAGCAAAGTCTGTTATCCTTAGTTGCAGGCGCCGAGTGGGCATCTTGTCTCGCCCATAGCTGTCGTTTCGCGCCATGCCTTTTCCTCCATTGCAGCGCCGATCGAAGTTCGTGGCGTAACACCGCAGTGACGCGGCCACACGCCAGCAGTTGCGATTGGCAGCTTGATGGCGCTGAACTCTGACGAAGTGCAGACGCGTTCTCCTCGTGGGTGCAGACAGGGACGGCGGCTCTCTCTCAAGTCATGTGACAGCTGGACAGATATCTTCACCGTGATAGTCCACGGAATTGTAGTTATAGAGTTGCCGTTTAGTTCGTGGCTGGATTGACGACGGCTTGTGGCTATATTTTTGCGAAGCTCGGTGCAGGAGGAGATCTCTCCTCCCTGTGGATCTTCTCCCCGAGTCGTGCTTACCTCCACTGAGTCACCGACAACTCTTTGCACGTTCACTCTTCAGCAACGTCAACTCTTCAGATCTTCTTTCCACAGCTCCACTGCTGTATTGTTTCGGCTTCTCAACTCCTGAAGCTCCTCAATAGCTTACCGCTATTAACTCATTACGGCCGTGTGACAGCTTCTTCTTCCTCTCCACTGCCTCCCACTACGCGTCGAGTGGTGTCTCTCTGTCTTTACGGCATACAGTCGGGTCTCCTGATGATGGGGTGGCCGTCTAAGGGCCACGGGCAACCGCGCTCGACCCATGCGAGCCACGCGGTGCCCTCCCCACTGCTGGCCTGCCCACAGTTCAGTGGTGGCATGCCTGGATTTACCAGCATCGTGAATTGACCAATGTATGCAAAGTATGTATTTCATTTCTTATCCGATCATTGTCATGAGAAAGAGGAGTGCTCTCTCTCTCCTTTGTGAAGTATTGGGAGACTTTGCCAGTTTAATTTGACCCCGACAGGCCTGTCATCAAATCCATCCTCCTTTTTTGGAGAGACGGGGGTCGTAGTTTATGAGCATGTGGCATCGTGTTCCACGCCTGGTGCTGCGCAGCCAATCACTACAACGGGCACCCGGAATAGTAGGGTATCACTCCGGCACATTATGAGCCAACCTCAAGGCCTTCCTACAGGGTTCTCAGTGTTACATAGCTCTCAAGTCAAGTTAGACTCCTGTCTGTGGTGCCAAGTTCCTTTCAATTAAAACACTTAGAGAAAAAAAACAAAACGTTATGCAAGCACAGGAACTAATGCGTTATTATCCTCAACATTTTTTAAAATGGTATACGTTTTACAACAGATATCACAGAACCATTTCTTAGATCCATTCGGATGAACTCTCATCCACATCAGGGAGCGGCACCTTCTTACCCACCCTGTGACAGAGTAATTTTCTGTGCGAAAGACGGCCAATCTGATATTTCAAATTCTTGGATTTGGCATTTAGTAAAGTCAAGTGCTGGATATGCGCGTGCTGTAGACGTGATGTGGCGCTTCACGTGGTCATGGAGGTGATGGTTGACGACGCCACCTCCAGCAGGCTCACCGAGTATCCATAATAAAGGGATTTTTTGGGGGGTTAGAGCGCGTAAATATAAACCTGCCTCCACCCGACAGCCAATTACAGTCGTAAGGTTTGTCACGTACACAAAACGTGCCAATTCGTTATTACTTCTGCACACCGGTGCTGGAGTGTAAACCCACACCATTTACAATTCGAGTACATTTCGCTGGTGATTACAACAACCAGCTTCATCTGGCGATAGCCAGAATTCACTGAACGTGATGGAGGAGGAGCGTAGTATCAGTTTACTCGATGAACATATAGCGTAATTTCAGCCATGGCCCCAACTGCTCCAAACTTATCCGTGGAGTTTCAAATATTAATATTCTCACATTTAAATGTTGTATGTGAGCAGTGTTCAGGTAGCTCAAAGGCTATCGTGCTGAGCAGGAACCTCTAACAATCCTGGGTTTTAATCCAGGCAACTGCCTGTGATTAAACAGTCCTCAGATGTAAAAAGTCAGGTGGTGTCAGCCAGATCACAAATGATTACAAAAATATTGGTAATATTTTTTTGTGACTGTGGTGCGACATCTCAGACTGTGCAACATCTCGTGAAGGACTGCCGAATCAGATAATTCAACGGTGATTTGAAACAAATCCACGCGGCTACTCCTGAAGCAGTGGAATGGATATCAAATCTCGACATAAATTTGTAATCTGTTGCAATTCCCAAAAATGCCATACGAAAGAAGAAGATTACAAAAAAGCAATCTCACTTAATTATTTTTTTGACATTAATTAGGTTAAATTCCAGCTCTGGAAATGAAAAATATTGGCTTTACTGCCACGCGACGAAAAATTCGCTCAGTGCAGAGCGGCTAGGAAGGTGCTGCCCTCTACTGCGTGGCCCGGAGGTTATTTGAAACGGGCATCTCTGTATAGGTCGTCCCGTGGCGTGACCCTGACAGCACAATCGAGATAAAGTTGGGGGAGAAATGTGTACCTTTTTTTAAACGGTTTTACTTAACTTGATTCCTCTGTTTGTCGTGGTCAAATCTTGTCATCAAAATTTCGTCCACTTCCCGTTGTCCAATTCCACATTTTGCACACGTACTCAGATCCGGTGACAATGCATGCCTGTATGAAAATCGGCACCAATTAATCAATCAATTCGCTACTTTAAAGCAATTAACATTTTGTATTCACGCCTTATCTCCACATATATATAAAAGGCAAAGTTGTGAATGTGTCTGTTCAAAATGTTTAGCGTACTTCCCGACATGCAACAAACTTGAAATTTGCCATGTGGGTACTTTCCAGACTGTACACTATGCAACAATTTTTAAAAAAACACTTTTTGAGGGGGGGAGTTCAATAATGCACATTTTTTTTTCACGGCAAGTGAGCTGTGACGTCAAATCTGTCATGTGACCCGCGAATGTGGAAGCGTAACGCATTGTAGTGTCGTGCTTAGCGCGCCGTGCTACGAACCCGGCAAACCGAGTTCGATTCCCGCTCACAGCCACCACTGGTGACCATTATTTTTACCGGTCCTGGGCATCCCCTAGGTCGACTCAGCATCAAACGAGTAACTGCTCTGTTGTGTGAACATCGCCACTCGGGGGACAAAGGCGGCGGGCGTGGTGAATCCAAGTCCCGGGCGAAGCCGGGTAGTACAGCTAGTTATATATAATTGTGTTGGTCAAAAACGCCGCGGTCCCTAAACTGTGAAATCGGCTCGCACAAAAAGCAGGCGCCGCGTGTCTCAGGCGCCGTTGATGTACTTCTCGACTGTGAGTTAAACGAAGTTGTTAATAAAACCCTTATTCTTGGTTCTTTCGGTAAAGTCACGTAGAAAAGAAACAATAAAATAATAAAAATATAAAACAATTAAATTCTCACGACGTTTCGACTGCAACACAAGCAATCATCATCAGGTGTGAAAACCACCGCAAATGGTGTTGCAGTCGAAACGTCGTGAGAATTTTATTGTTTTATATTTTTATTATTTTATTGTTTCCCTTCTACGTGACTTTACCGGAAGAACCAAGAATATGAATCCCTGCAGTCACGAAAACTTTAAATCAAAATACAACCCTTGTTTAAAAAAAAACTTTTTTAAAGGAGTTTATTAACAACAATATTGGAATGCGTGTCATTGTCGAGGAGAACATTGGATGTGGACGCCGACCGTGCATGCGTGCGTGCGTGCATGCCGACAGGTGCAGGCCATGGCGGAGACGAGTCGCTTTGAGGCGGAGATCCGCGCAGAGCAGGAGGACAAGCGGCGCCAGGCGGAGGAGCAGAAGCAGCGCCGCGCCGCCTTCCGCCAGCTCCAGTCGGCCTTTGCAAACTGAAGCCCCGGGGGCTCGATGCATCACTGCCACCGGCATTTGTCTCTCAGATGTCGGCTTTCCAATGCACTGCTTATTTGAATGGCCAACACGTTTGGGTGATGGTACGGTGGATACTAATGTATAGTCCCTTCCAAAAAAACACATTTTCCTGGGGAGCAGCATAACCTGTATACTTGCATTTTAATGTATATCTTATATAAAAGTCTCCGCGCCCGCGCGCGCGCTTACGAGGGATTTGGCTCTCGGACGGTGGACTTGACGTCCAAAAAAATTTGCCAGGCAGCACGCCCTAAGTCCCGGGATGGGAATAGGCTATTCCGTTTTCACATCCCTCAACTTTAAAGTAGTTTAATTAACAAATTTGTGACATTTTTATTTTAATTATTTACTCATTGCGTCACATCGACCGCACCAACTGACGACAATTGCGTGGGGGGGGGGCCGGACCCTGCCAAGTGATGCGCGTTCGGTCGACCTCACGGGGGACATAGAGCCATTCCCTCTACACCTTGGGGTGCGACAGGGATGTCCTCTGGCTCCCACATTATTTAACATATTTTGACCACGTAGTTCGTGAAGACTTCTATGGCTGTACCGGAGGAATTACCATATGGTACATATACAATGGGAGGCTGATCGATGCCCGGGTACGGTCAAGGGATGGCTCCCTATTGATCAACCATGTAACGTATGCCGATGCTCTGGTGAATCTTGCTCACTCAGAGGAGGACTTGGAGGCACTGCTGCTGAACCTAGAGCTTGGCACTAAGAGGTGGGGCCTTACCATCAGCCCCATCAAATCTAAGCACCTGGCTGGGTATTTTTTTACCATCGGACCATCCACCCCCACAACTCACAATTTCTGATGCGCCAGTTGTGGAGAGATTCCCATACCTGGCCAGTGTGCTCATGACCAGCTCCGGTTTAATACCAGAGGTCTCACTCCAATCAGTTGAGCGCCATTATCTTTTCATCAGCTGCGTTACGCTGTGTGGAAGCTACCTGGTCTCTCGCTCCACATGAAGCTCCAGGTCTTCTCGGCCATGGTAATCCCCTACCTTCTGTACGCTTGCGAAACGTGCACCCACCTAATGGAACATCTTCGCCGGTTGGAAACATTTAGGCTGGCCTGCTAACGATCCACCCTGGGTTTAACCATATGTGTGTGTGTACGTCTAAGCCGATGTGTTTCTACGTGTGTGGGTCCATGTCTGTGTGTAAGTCCATGTATGTGTCTGCCTATTTCGCCCGGGCAACGCCGGGTACTTCCTGCTAGTGTTAAATAAATGCGTTTAGGGTGGCAGTGAAAGGGACTGTTACTCAGCTCGCTACAGCTGTTGCACTTGATACGAATGCTCACTCTATTTCAGACGCATCAGCGGTCAGTTCATGCGTCGCACCACACAAAGCTGCCGAGAAATCCTCTGAGTGCCACCACCGTGGAGCGAGTTGGCCCTGCCGACGTGAGCGGTGCTCATTATTGTGGGGAACTCTGACGATGTGCGGTGGTGGTGGCTGCATGATGATAGATTGGGCTACTATTACTACTACTTACTAATCGTTATCCGTGCTGCCGATGGAGTTGAGCAGTGACATCGTTTGAACCGAGTCCCCATGACGGTTGACCTTTTTTTAAACAACGCACTGCCCTCGTGTCCATTGCACGATGAGGGCCTCCCCACACCGTGCGGTTCGCGGGTGTTGTTTGACCATACTTCACGACGCCGGTCAGTGCGAGTTGATGAAGGTGCGGGGGGCAGAAGTAGTTGGGGGTACTGTATAGCAAAGTGTAGCAATGGAGTTTGGTGATAAGTGCTGCACTGCCATCTGCTGGCACCGTGGTCATGAACAACAGAAATGGGAGATTAACCGCCGCCGTGGGCAGGACCCATCTGGCATGCTCCACCACCCACGCTGATGCTGGGCTCAGGTGAGCCCGAATCAGTGGTTCCAGTCGTGGACGCGTTTCATCCTCACGCACGGGTCACTTCTGATGCACGCGTCCCGTCTCAGTGTTGACAGCCCCACATATGCTCTGTGCTGCACATTTTATATGTATGTGATCATATTCTTAACTCTTTCGGTAAAGTCACGTTGAAGGGAAACAATAAAATAATAAAATATATAAAACAATAAAAATTCTCACGACGTTTCGACCATAACACAAACGGTCGTCATCAGGTGTGTCGGTTTCGCATTAATTTATTTATTTTTAAACGTTTTATTTATTTAAAAACGTCAGCGCCACGCGCAGCGATTTGGCAGTTTATTTAGGACTAGTCCATCTATGTTCTGAAAAGAGGAGGGGGGAGACGAAAAATTAATATATGCTGTATGAAAGCCACTGTAAGCATGAACAATCAAATCTTTCCAATGATTGCTAAGACAGAATTCATCTTCTCGGTTGAAATTGTCTCTATGCTTGTATATGTGGATAGCCTCATGAACGAATCTCTCATGGTAGCCAGATGGCTTACAAATAACCTCTGTCTTGGAAAAGTCAATGTCATGTGAGCCTACTGAATTATAACAATGATCTGCCACGGCCGAGGTGTTGGTCCTACCGTGTTTAAGGTCTGCTTTGTGTTCACGAATGCGGTCCGAGATATGGCGTTTGGTTTCTCCAATGTAACTACTACCACAGAGGCAACTTAGTTTGTAGACACCAGGATACTGTATGTCCGGAATCACATCTTTTACAGACGGAACCAGATCACGGATTTTATGTAATGTGTTGAAACGGACCTGGATCTTGTGTTTATTCAAGATTTTGGAAATATTTTTTGTGATCCCCGCAATGTAGGGTAAAGTGATTGTTTTGAAAGGCTCCTCAAGAGGGTCCTTCATGGTTTGAGTGATAGCTTTGCGGATTGTATAGTCGGAGTAACCATTAGCCTTAAGAGCTTGGTGTACGTGCTTGAGTTCACTGCCTATGTGTTCCTGGTCGGATATGCATTGGGCTCTATGATACAGAGTCTTGATGAGAGAATTCTTCTGTGATGGATGGTGGTGGGAATCCGGTTTCAGATAAGCATCCATATGGGTAGCTTTCCTGTAGACAGTGGCTCATTGAACCATCAGGTCTCTTTTTAATTAGGACATCCAAAAAAGGTAGCTTGCCATCTTTTTCGACTTCCATGGTAAATCTGATGGCTGGGTGTATGGAATTGATGTGGTCGAAGAATTGGTCAAGAGCAGGCTGGCCATGTGGCCAGATGACAAAAGTGTCATCCACGTACCTCTTCCATAAGGTTGGGCACAGAGTGGCAGTCTGGATGGCGTCAGTCTCAAATTTCTCCATGAAAATGTTAGCTATAATCGGAGATATGGGTGAGCCCATTGGGGTGCCCTCAGTTTCTTTGTAGAAAGTTCCATTCCAAGTGAAGTATGTATTGGTTAAACAGTGTCTCACCAGGGGAGGTACCTCGGTGTTTAGTCCTTGATGAACCAAGTCTTCAATGATTGCGATGGTGTCAGGTACAGGAACCTTGGTGAATAAGGAAACTACATCAAAACTGACAAGCAGGTCGTCTGGGGACAGGGAAATACCCTTGATTGTCGATACCAGGTGAGTAGAATTTTGTACCGCAGAGGTGGTTTTTCCAGTGAAAGGACGCAGGATTTCAGACAAAAAACGAGCCAGTTTGTAGGTGGGGGAGTTGATAGTAGAGACGATTGGACGAAGGGGTGTATCTACTTTATGTATTTTTGGTAAGCCGTATAATCTTGGTGGCCTAGCAGCAGAAGGTTTCAACGAAAACTGTTTAGAACTCAAGCACGTACACCAAGCTCTTAAGGCTAATGGTTACTCCGACTATACAATCCGCAAAGCTATCACTCAAACCATGAAGAAGGACCCTCTTGAGGAGCCTTTCAAAACCATCACTTTACCCTACATTGCAGGGATCACAAAAAAGATTTCCAAAATCTTGAATAAACACAAGATCCAGGTCTGTTTCAACACATTACATAAAATCCGTGATCTGGTTCCGTCTGTAAAAGATGTGATTCCGGACATACAGTACCCTGGTGTCTACAAACTAAGTTGCCTCTGTGGTAGTAGTTACATTGGAGAAACCAAACGCCATATCTCGGACCGCATTCGTGAACACAAAGCAGACCTTAAACACGGTAGGACCAACACCTCGGTCGTGGCAGATCATTGTTATAATTCAGTAGGCTCACATGACATTGACTTTTCCAAGACAGAGGTTCTTTGTAAGCCATCTGGCTACCATGAGAGATTCGTTCATGAGGCTATCCACATATACAAGCATAGAGACAATTTCAACCGAGAAGCTGAAATCTGGCTTAGCAATCATTGGAAAGATTTAATTAACCATTTCAGGTCTTAATTGATTGTTCATGCTTACAGTGGCTTTCATACAGCATACATTAATTTTTCATCTCCCCCCTCCTCTTTTCAGAACATATATGGACTAGTCCTAAATAAACTGCCAAATCGCTGCGCGTGGCGCTGACGTTTTTTTTTATAAATAAATACACCGTTTAAAAATAAATAAATTAATGCGAAACCGACACACCTGATGACGACCGTTTGTGTTATGGTCGAAACGTCGTGAGAATTTTTATTATTTTATTATTTTATTGTTTCCCTTCAACGTGACTTTACCGAAAAGAGTTAAGAATATGAATTACTGCAGTCACGAAAGCTTTAAATCAAAATTAATGTGATCATAATCGTAATCTTTATTTAGACTGGAGGAATCCGATTAGCCATGAAGCTCTTTGACACAGATGACACGCAACCCCTGCACCTCCGATGAGCACGGTTGTCTACTTACGGTGTGAAAGAAGTTCAACATCCACAATCGTTTTTCATTTGTGTTCCGTGTATTAAATACAGTTTTGTGTCAAAACTAGGACCCATATCGAACATCTGGCAGTTCACCAGCATGACTGCTGATGAGTCCACTGAATATCGAAGCCGGTCCAGTTTTTCTTGTGTTGAACCAATGCTGCTGAAGTGATGCACTTCCATAAGGCCGTGCGGCTGATGGGAAGTGTAAAACAACTACATTTGCTATATTATTTGCAGGGACATTTGTGCTTATTGGTTCACGCTTTTGTCCTTGACCGGTAGTCATATCCGGGGGGTTAGTTAGGGTCGTGATAGCCAGGATGATGTGCAGCACGCGTAGTCCCACGTGGATGGGCGATCACCAACACAGGTTGATTTGCTCGTTCAAATCCGAATACTGTATTCCCAACACCGTGGCATCTGCACTGTTGTAACATGTTCAAAGTTTTTACATTTTAAATAAATGTTAAACGAAAATCAGGGCCTCTCCATGTTGTTGCCTGTCAATCATGGGGGCTGTTCGACCATACTTCCCCACGATGGTAAGTGCGGATTGCTCAATTTCCGGGTGAGCGCCAATAGGTCCGGTAGTTTCAGATACAATTCGCCAATGACAGCCGTGGTCGGGTATTGAACTCAAGTAACCGAGTGTAAGGCGCTGTGGCAATGCTCCACGGCGGGCTTACTCCAGCGTCTGATGCTGCTGCTGCGTTTGCAGTGGTGCACAAGCACAACCAACAATTCACCCTTTTTATGTTTCAAATAATTACAAAGTGCAACAGATCACAAAGAGATTCCAGAGCGCTGTACAGTACAACGCAAGTTTTAATAAAAGTCACATCACGTAACAGCGTAATATATCAGCGGCAATGCATATTAATGATATCAATAGCGGTGCGCAGCCTTAAATTTAATAAAACAGGTGAATCGGGCAATCGCGTTTCAGGATTGTGCTCAGGGCTATTGCCCAAAAACGTCGCCTTTTATGGTTTTCCCCCCTCTTTACGTCCGCACACAGTGCTACTGAAGAGTATGTTGGGTTCACAGTGGTGCTCGCTAAGAGATACCGTACTGTGCAGGGTTGTACAGCACGCAGTGAGTCCACGCACACTTAATCCACGATTCATCAGTAGTGTCACCACGAACCGCCAGCATTCGTCGTCACATCATTTTCTCGTCATAAACCATCACACAAACTCCGCTCATCCTCACCGCAGTGGATTTTGGCTCGCCATCAAACAAAAATTGTCACCGCGCGTTTTCAGATGCGCTTCTGCAGCCGTCTGGAACGCTCTTCCTCCCGATATGAGGAAGCCACTGGGTGCTGTGCACTCTTAAATATACATTGAAAACTAATTTCTCTAGAACTGCCTTGTGTTTAGCATGTTACCCTTCCCCTGCACCTCCGATTAGCAGCGTTTGGCTATGTACGGTCATTCACATCAGTAGTATCAATCCTAATACTCCACCGTGCGCGCTGATGCTGTTCTGGGCTGAGCTGAGCCCGAATCGGTGGTTCCTGTCGTGGACTCGTTTCCTCCCCACGCACGGTTCACCTCTGATGCGCGCGTCCCGTCTCAGTGTTGACAGCGCCACATCTGTTCTATACCACGTTACATATGTAGTGTTCGATTTCACTCGGACAACTTCTGTCTTTCTCCGAACACCGCTTTATTTACAACTCTCAGCATGTCCTCCACATTCCACAGTATCCTGGTCGCCACGGCTCGCTCGCCGTGCTTCACTCGACTCGCTCGCCACCTTTGTCTCTCCACTCCCCACGATTACTTCGCTTACTCCGCCGCTAACTTCTTCGTCTCCGCTCTCCGCTATCACCGTCACTATGTTCTCTCCACTGCTAACTTCTTCGTCTTTGTTCACCGCTATCACTGTAACTATGCTCACTCCACTGCTAACTGCTTCATCTCTGTTCACCTCTATCACCGTCACTATGCTCACTCCACTGCTACTGCTTCATCCCTGTTCACCACTATCACCGTCACTGTGCTCACTCCACTGCTGGCTGTTCTCGTCTTCAGCTCCGCTATCGCTACGCTCTCTCCACTGCTGGCTATTCTCGTCTCCAGCTCTGCTATCGCTACGCTCTCTCCACTGCGGGCTATTCTCGTCTTCAGCTTCGCTATCGCTACGCTCTCTCCACCGCTAACTACTTCGTCTTTGTTCAGCTTCACTATCGCTACGCTCTCTCCACCGCTAACTACTTCGTCTTTGTTCAGCTTCACTATCGCTACGCTCTCTCCAAACTCTGTCTCTCAAACTCTGTCTCTCAAACTCTTTCTTCCAAACTCTGTCTCTCAAACTCTCCACACTTCAATTCCCCCTGTTGACTCCAAGCTCTCCAAACTCCAACTCCCGCTCCAATTGCCAACCCCCCAATTTATCCATGCTCTCATCACACCCCAATTAATTAACCTGCGTCCCAACGGCACCCCGCGTGATCCGTACACCTGTTTCTCGCGGCAACAGCACCAACCGATCACAGCCGTCCTTGGCTCTCCCAACCTAATTGCCCTCACATGTTCTTTGTTTTTTTTGTAAAGTCACGTAGAAATAATAAAACATAATAGTGTACGACGTTAAGAATGCAACACAAGCAATCATCATCAGGTACAGAAGAGCTAAATTTACGAGAGAGAGGTGACACATAACCGCAGATATATATACAGACACAGATACAACAGGGGATACAGAGAGAGAGAAACGTGGGAGCACACTAAATCAAACAGGTTTTAGCAAGATTTGGAAATCATATAACGCAACACAGACGGTCGGTCAAAACACAATTAACGCAAGGTCAGGTTACGTTATTTCAAACATTGCTAAATTGTAAGTTAAGTGTGAAATTTCAAATCTAAAAAAATATACAGACCGCATACACATAGACATCCAAGCAGAACGAGTTAGCACAGAGACACATGGAGAGAGACAGGCACACAGTGAAGCATCATCTCTGTGTCAAGGTTTTAAATAGGCAGAGAGGGCGGGGCTGAGATGTAATGGGGCAACAAATTCGAACGCGGCACGAGGGCCAAGGAAGAAACTACACATGATCGGCGAGACAATGGGACACAAATTAGCATGAAGCATGTGTGGTGCCACCACGACGGAGCAGCTCCGTCGGGGACCGTTTCCACCGCCCCGACGCGGCGCACCGCCCCCCCCACCCCACGTAGAGCCGGAAGGGGAGATCACCTGGCCGATAGGTTTTATTCCAGAAGCCCCTAATGGGATTAAGTTTCATGGTTTCCTACGGCCGGGAATTTGGGCGATCTCCCCCCGTAGCTGACACGAACCGCGGCGCCGTGACCTGATATTAAAATCATGTAGTCGCGGCGGAGGCCGTAAAGCCAACACGGACGAAATTACACACGCGGCACGGGGCGTGTGAACCACGAGATGCCTGTTGTTATAGATGGAATTAGGAACTCAATGCCCCTGATTATAGGTGAGCTCACGGATCCGAATGACAATAGGATAGGAGCATTCAGGCCGTCGAATGAGCAAGGCGACGCGGGGCGGAAGCATCTGAATGCCCTTTGTGCTAGATAAGGTCACAGGACGGAATGCCTTTGTTAGGATCAGGGATCTAGATAACAAAGGGGTGAGAATATCCAACAGCTGAATGGACAGGGCCCCCTGGGGTATGAGAGCCACAGTGCGCCTTTATTATGAATGGGATTAGGGACTCGATGACAATGAGATAAAAATAACGCGACCTACGATTGGGCCGGGCAGCATAGGTGCGAAAGCATCGGAGTGCCTTTTGTTATAGGTAAGCTAATAGACTCGAATAGGAAAAGGCACGGGCGATGATGTGTCAGGTCCGTGCAATAGGTTCGGTGATAGGTAGGATAAAAAGGAGGGGAGGGGGATAGTAGAGAGGTCTTCTTCTGAAAAATCATCGCGGTCCACGGGGCAGGAGGGTCAGTCGTTCGAGACGTCCGTGCGATGAGCCCAGCGCAGCTAGACTCAACCCTCTCCGGAGACGACTCACAGTATCGCCTTACTACAGCGTTCAGCGCAGCAGAGTGGAAGCAATCGTAAGTAGAGGAGAGGTACGTTTGGGCTATTGAATAGAGGGTAGAAAACGGAGCTATATGCAGGATAAGCTGAATCTGGACACCTCGAGGAATAGGTTAGGAGGGCCTGCTGACTCGCACAGACACTCGTAGTTAGCGGGATACTCGCAGGGAATAAAACCACTAATAGGATAAAGCTGTATTGTGGTCACTGTGAGTGCGAGGAGGGAGACGGAGTGTTTGGTGTTCGCATACCAGTACGAGTGTGTACAGTACTGTTTTGCGCTCGTGCGCATACGCGGCTGTTTGCGGCGGGTACGAGAGTAAAGAGTGCTTGGTGGTCGCGCGCACGCACGGTTGTTTACATCGGGGCGGAGCGTTTAGCGTGCGCGTGCCTACGCGGCTGTTTACGGGTGTGCTGTTCGTCGGGCGCGTGCCCAAGCGACTTTTTTCCGTGGGTTTAGAGCGCTCGTGTGCCTGTGCGACGGTGTTGTGGTCGCGGGCCCGCACGATTGCTAATCGCGAAGTAGCGAGCTAAAGCGCCGAGCGCGCGCGTATTCGCGCGACTGTTCGAACGGGCTCTTTAACTCCGAGCCGGGCGACCCTCCTCAGTCATGTAGAAATAATAAAATAACATAATAGTGTACGACGTTTCGATTGCAGCACAAGCAATCATCATCAGGTACAGAAGAGCTAAATTTACGAGAGAGAGGAGACACATAACCGCAGATATATACAGACACAGATACAACAGGGGATACGTGACTTTACCGAAAAAAAAACAAATAATAATTCCTGCAGTCACAAAAGCTCCAAATTCAAGTTTCAACCACCTCTTCGGGGAGGTATGAGGTATGTGTCTTTGTGTTCTCTACTGGTGTGTTTACCTTTGTGTTCTTGACATAGGTTTGTGTCTCTGTGTTGTCTCTGCCTGTGTTTGTGCCTTGGGTTTCCGAGCGTGTGCCGTTTCCTCTGCTGCCTCCGCGCCGCCCCTTGCTACATGCTTCATGCTAATTTGTGTCCCATTGTCTCGCCGATCATGTGTAGTTTCTTCCTTGGCCCTCGTGCCGCGTTCGAATTTGTTGCCCCATTACATCTCAGCCCCGCCCTCTCTGTCTATTTGAAACCTTGACACAAAGATGATGCTTCACTGTGTGCCTGTCTCTCTCCATGTGTCTGTGTGTTAACTCATTCTGCTTGGATGTCTATATATGTGTATGCGGTCTGTATATTTTTTAGATTTTAAATTTCACACTTAACTTACAAATTAGCAATGTTTGAAATAACGTAATCAATCTGACCTTGCGTTGTTTTGACCGACCGTCTGTGTTGCGTTATATGATTTCCAAATCTTGATAAAACCTGTTTGATTTAGTGTGCTCCCACGTTTCTCTCTCTGTATCCCCTGTTGTATCTGTGTCTGTATATATATCTGCGGTTATGTGTCTCCTCTCTCTCGTAAATTTAGCTCTTCTGTACCTGATGATGGTTGCTTGTGTTGCAATCGAAACGTCGTACACTATCTCGGCCTCGCTCTGCGTTGCGTTGCAGAGCTAGATGAGTAGATACCTCGCGTTTCCAATAAACCCTCAGAGCCAGGGTGAACATCTGACTCCGAATGTCATTTATTGAAATTGAACGGTAGAGAGAGGTAAAACTGTTAAGAAAACAGCACAGATACAGCATCTGTTAATACCCAGAAAAACCAACACAATGAATAAACACCACAGCATCATAACGTTGTCTTATGAATGAGACATTTTGTTATTTCAAGTTTGAATCTACTTACTCGATTACAGGTAAATCACAACAAGGCAAGCTGCAGGCTTTATTGTCCACTAGGCCCCACATACATCGTAACAATTTAACAGCATTATAAAGGTTCTAGCATTATAACAGCATTATAAAGGTCCTTCTAATATTATAGCAACATTGCCAGTATCATAAGAACACAAACGAACTTACAATGCTTCCCAAAGTCCCACAACGGTGGCTGCAGCTGTCTTCACGGAGCTGCGATGTGTGCCGCCATCTTGAAGTATGTTTTTAATGGCCGACGCCCGCGTGGTTCAGCGGAAATTTAAAATCGCAACTTCCTGGTCACGTGACCACCCCCTATTTAAAAAACAGGAAATTCCTGTGTACACACACCCCACATCTGCCGTGAGGCAAGACACTTGCCGTGAGGCAGAACACTCCCCGTCTGGTATCTAGGAGATACCACCATTTATTTCCTATCTCATAAACAAGTGTATAACAACTTCAACGGGTCAACTTATTTGTCCATATCTTTACGAGAGAGAAGTAGTACTGTCTCGACTATGGGCCTGAAGAAAGTTCTTGCGACACCTTGCTTCGCAATCATAACCTCGACTTTTCGAACTTTTCCATCGGCACTTGGAATCGACTTGAGGATGCGGCCCATTGGCCACTCATTCCGTTTGGCTTGGTTGTCCTTCAATAGGACGAGGTCGTCTTCTTGGATGTCTGGTCTGTTAGACTGCCACTTGTTGCGTACTTGGAGTGTCGCAAGGTACTCGTTTTTCCAGTGACGCCAGAACGTGTTCGCGAAGCTCTGCACTTGTCTCCATTGACGTCTGTAGAGGTCTGCAGTGCTGGCCTCCTCGGTAGGTGCTGTGAGCACGTCTGTCTTCTGGGTAAGAAGTGTAGCAGGAGTCAAGATGAATGGTGACTCCGGGTCAGTTGAGACGGGGATCAGGGGTCTTGAATTAATTATGGCTGAGACCTCGGCCATGAGAGTGGTCAAGACCTCGTGAGAGAGCCGTGTGGACCCGACATCACCCAGCATGGAGTCGAGAATGCGTCGAGCAACCCCGATCATGCGTTCCCAGGCTCCACCCATATGCGAAGAGTGAGGAGGATTGAAGATCCATATGCAGCCTTGGTCACTAAGGTATTTCCTGACAGAATCATCTTCGACATTCTCTGTACTGATCTTAAGCTCTTTACATGCTCCAGTGAAATTGGTTCCACAATCAGAACGGAGTTGCTTGGCTGGCCCTCTGATGGCGAAGAATCTCCGGAGTGCATTTATAAAGCTCGAAGAGTCCATGGACTCGATGACTTCGATGTGCACTGCTCGTGTACTCATGCAGGTGAACAGCACTGCCCAACGTTTGCTGTTCGCGAGCCCTCCTCTGGTGTGGCGGAAGATGACTGTCCATGGTCCAAACACGTCGATCCCTACAGAGGTGAAGGGAGGTTCTACACTGAGTCGATCGGCTGGGAGGTCTGCCATTTTCTGTTCTTCCTGTTTTCCACGTAGCTTGCGACACCTGATACACTTGTGGATTATGCTGGCGACGCACCTCTTTGCTCCAACGATCCACAGCCCTGCAGATCGGATTGCTCCTTCTGTGAAGTGCCGACCTTGGTGCTTGACCTTCTCGTGATAGTGGCGCACAAGGAAAATTGCAATGTGGCTCTGACTTGGGATTATGAGGGGGTTCCGTCCGTTCTTATCTAATTTTGCATTCCATAGCCGACCACCGATCCTGAGCAAGCCGTCTTCGCCCATCCTAGGGTTTAGCTTCCTGAGGGTGCTGACCCTAGGAAGGTCTTCTCCCTTGTTGATGGATCTGATCTCACTTGCATATGCTGCCTGTTGCACACAGCGGAAGGTTGATTTCCTTGCTCTGGAAAGCTCATCTTCAGTGCGTGGCACTGTGCAGTGATGCCATCCATTGCAGCTACCAGTGGTGCCTCTCATCGGGCGATGGAAGCAGTCTGCGATATGCATTAGACGTGCTATCGCTCGCACGAGCGTCGTCCATTTCGAGAAATGTTCAAAATGGTGTGGACTCAGTGGACTTCTCGGTTGCACATCTGTTACGAAAGTTGTCACTTGAGGACGAATCTCCTTGTCGGACTCGGGCTCTATGAGTCCAAAGGTCTCTTTCGTAGTACATGGGCCACCGTCACGTCGTAAGAGGAACGCTGGACCCGTCAGCCAGATGGTTTGCTTCAGCAGAGATGCAGGGACGGACCTAGTTGCGAGATCTGCTGGATTCTGGTCAGTTGGAACATAATTCCATTGCTCCGGCTGCGTCGATCTCCTGATGCGTTCCACTCTATTGCTGATGTAGGTGTAGAACCTTCTGGTTTGGTTGTTTATGTAGCCTAGTACGACCTTACTGTCCGTGTAGAACTTGACTGCGTCCAGTTTGATGTCCAATTCGTCTAAGATCAGTTCCGCCACTTCCGTAGCTAGAACGGCTCCACACAGCTCGAGCCTTGGGATGGTATGTTCCGGTTGTGGGGCCAATTTGGCCTTGCCCAATATGAACCCAACATGCTGGATCCCTTCTGCGCTTGTGGTCTTTAGGTAAGCTACGGCTGCTACGGCCATCATAGAAGCATCTGCAAACACATGTAACTCCTTCCGTTGGGTTACGGAAAGGGATGTGGGCGTGTAGGAACGTGGAATCTGCAGCTGCTCAAGTGCCTGTAAGGAATTTCTCCAAGTTTCCCATTCTTGTCGCCGTTCCTCCGGCAATGGGCTATCCCAGTCTTGTGTATCAGCACAAAGGTCTCTGAGTATCCAACGGCCTTGAATGGTGACCGGCGCTACAAATCCTAGTGGATCGTACAGGTTGTTTACCATCGACAAGATGCCACGTCGCGTGTAAGATTTCTCTCCAATTGATACTCGGAATGTGACCGTATCCACTTTCAGGTCCCAACTCAGTCCGAGGCTGCGTTGGATTGGTGGTGTGTCAACGTTAAGGTTCAAGTCTTTCAAGTCTTTTGAACGATCATCTGAAGGGAATGCTTTTATTACTTCTGCGCTGCTGGATGCTATCTTGTGAAGTCTCAGGTTAGCAGTTGCTAACATTCCTTGCATCCTTTGGAGCAGATCGATGGCTTCTGAGGCCGTAGGCATTGATTTAAGTGCGTTGTCAACGTAGAAATCTCGCTCTACATATTGCTTGGCGTCTTCCCCAAACTCCCCTTCTCCTGCCTGCGTGGTCCTCCTAAGTCCATAGGTGGCTACCGCTGGGGATGGGCTGTTGCCGAAGACATGCACCTTCATTCTGTATTCAACAATTCGATCATCGACATTGTTATTGCGGTACCACAGAAACCTGAGGTAATTTCTGTCATCTTCTCGGACAATGAAGCAGTGGGACATTTGTTGAATGTCGGCTGTTACAGCGATTGACTCCTTTCTGAAACGGGTGAGTAACCCTAGGAGACTGTTGGTCAAGTCTGGTCCGGTGAGCATTACGTTGTTCAAGGAAATGCCCTTAAATTGAGCACTTGAATCGAACACCACTCTGATCTGATCCGGCTTCTTTGGGTGATACACGCCAAAGATTGGTAAGTACCAGCATTCCTGTCCTTCTTCTAGAGGGGCCGCTTCAGCGTGACCACTGTCAAATATGTTTTTCATGAAGGACACAAAATGATTCTTCATCTCTGGTCTCTTGTCCAAGGTGCGGCGCAATGAGTTGAGCCGTGAGAGGGCTTGCTCTCTATTGCTGGGTAGCCGGCATCTGGGATTACGAAATGGCAGAGGGGCAACCCAACTGTTTTACTCATCTTGGAAGAACTCTCTGTCCATTATTTTCAAGAATTCTTTATCCTCTAGCGATAGAGCAGGTGTGTCGTCATCCTTCGTTGTCACGAACACCGTATGTCCAACATCACCTTTCAGCATAGAGGTTTCTTCGTCGGCCTGCATGGTACAGCTTTGACTTCTATCGTCGAATTTCTCTTTCAGCGTGAAGTAGTTGGGGCACGGTTTGAAAAGCGACGTGCGTCCATTCGTGAGCACACTCGTTCTGAATGTGCTTATGTGGTCTGGTTTGTGTGTTCCATCGAGACAGACATCACCTACAATGACCCCTCCTAGGTCGAGTCTCTAGGCGTAGGGAGCGTCGTGAGGTCCGTTGCGTTGATCACGAACCTTGTGGACTCTCAGCATGTCCCTGCCAAGCAGAAGTAAAATCTGTGCCGCGTGATCCAATGGCGGGATGAACTCTGCTATGGGTTTCAGCTGTGGGTGGTGACGTGCGACTTCGGGCGTGGGAATCTCACTCCTGTCGTCCGGTATCTCATTGCACTCTGTCACCGTAGGAAGGGCTAGCTTCATGGTGCTATCCATGGTTTCCACCATGAGGGTGCTCGCTCTTCTTCCCGCTGTCTCCATCAGTCCTGAGCATGTTCTGAGCGTGTATGGAAAGGAATTCCCACCTACGCTTAGCTGATCAAAGAACTCTGACCTTGCCAAAGACTTGTTGCTCTGGTCGTCCATTATGGCGTACATCCTTACTGCCCTTTCAGGATGTCCTTTGGGATACACTCGGACGAGGCATATCTTTGAGCAAGATCTTCCTTTGAAGCCTTCTCCACAGACTTCTGTGCATTTGGTTGTGATTGACGAAGTGAGTGCGGCGGTCTCGCCTTGCTCTGCTTCGGGATCGGAAGCCTTAGTGCCACTGGGTTTGTAGTAAAATGTGTGCAGAACAGTTGCGTGTTTGTCACTGCCACATTCCTCGCACTTGATATCTGCCTTGGAATTCGTTGCAAGGTGGTTTGTAGAAGCACAGCATTTGAAGCACACTCCAAATTCTTTCAGAATGTTCTTCCGCTCTTCCAATGGCTTCCTCCTGAACTCACGGCATTTCTGGAGGGAGTGGGGTTCATCATGCAATGGGCATTGCTTCTCTGGATCCTCTATCTTTTTCTTTGTGGTGGTTGTCTGGACGGAGTTTGTGAATGTCGTAGGAGAGACCTCAGTCTTGTGTACAGAAATTGGCACTCTCGCTGTTCCTCATTTCGCCATTGCTCTTTCCATTTTTGGGAGATCTGGACTGGAAATCCCCGTGGTGCCAAACATGAAACTCGGGTCATTTCTGGTCTTAGCCAGGTAGCGGATAAACTTTGAGAAAAAAGAGAATTGGGGGAATGCAACCTGATGTTCTGACTTGTATCTTGAACCTGCTGTTCTCCATTTTTCCTACACGTCGAATGGCAATTTCTCTACTATGGGGTTCACGCCATGGTAGGTATTCAAGAAAATGAGACCTGGTAAATAGGGGTCAGCCTGGGCTGATTCAAGCTCCATCAAAAGATCTCCAAGCTCTCGTAACCTTTTATTGTCCCTACCAGAGATTTTTGGAAAGTTCTGCAACTTCTTGAAGAGAGCCTTCTCAATAGTTTCTGGGCTACCGTAGCACTCCTCGAGCCTCTCCCACACTGCATGCAGGCTTGAGGCGGGGTCGTCAATGTTTGCTGCCCGGATCCTCTTTGCGTACTCTGTAGATTCGTTTCCTAACCATTTCACCAACAGGTCGAGTTCTTCACTTGCAGAGATGTCTGCATTTCGGATTGCATTCCTGAAGGTAGATCTCCAGGCTCGATAGTTCTCAGAGTGGTCATCAAACTTAACGAGTCCTGTGTTGATTAGTTCGCGGTGAGCCAGGTACCTAGCAAAGTCCCCTAATCCTGCTGATCCAGGGTGTGTCCATACTGGCGCTTGTGAGGTGCCATTATTGGCTGCATTGCCTTGCATGCCGTCATTCGCGATGGTGTTGGATTGTGGGCCCAAAAGGTTTCGATCACGTTGGTTTGATCCCCTTATGTGACTGTCTGGAATGTGGGTCTGACGTGATGCATCCATTTCTGATCCCACATGTGCGACGCTGAGTCGACGACTAGCTGCCAGGGCAGAATATGCATTTCCACCATTCCCGTAGACAGCATTCGTGTTCATTCGGTGTGGAGATGGCAATGCCTGAACGTCCACCATTTGTTCAGTATCGTTTGGTGGAGGAGCATTGATGCATTGTTCAGACCAGTCCAAAATATTTTTTTCTGGTGAGTTGATCACGGTCCTTGACAGGTATATGAGTGCCAAACTCACTCCAATTCTCTTCCTTATCCAGATTGGCTGCTGCTTGGAGCACCTCTGCTTGGGCCCTTGCAGCAGCTGCTTCTTTTTTGAGCTGTAGGGTACTTAACTTAGCATCCAGCTCAATTTTCTTCCGTGTGGCAGTAGCCACTAATATACTCTCTTGCTCTCGTGCGGCAGCAGTTGCTATGCTTGCTTCTTCTTGTATGCGGGCCTTTTCAATTAGCATGGCTTCCTCTTCAGCCATGTAGGCAATACAGGCATTTGCTGCTTCTGCTGCTGCGCGTGCCTGAGCTGCTGCCATACTAGTAGATGATGTCTTTGAGTGTGCTGAGCCTTTAGATCTTGTGGTGGACCTGGATGAGACAGAGTGCTGAGATCGGGTCTCTCTTAAGCCCTCCGCACGGTCTATTGCATCTTGTATCACTGCCTGTACATTATCATCGAGCAGTTCAAGGAAGTTCTCTTGCGTGCGTACTCCCTCAAGGCCCTCATCTGTTTCCATCTTCATCAGGAGGGAGATGTATTTATTTGCCAGGAGCTTGTAGCTTGAGCTGCTCACCTTCACTCGCTGGATGGCCCGCTGAATTGAGGCCACTGTGTCTGAGGCATTTGCAGCTTCAGATATATCAGCTTCAACCCGGTCCCATGCCCTTTGTATCCTGGCATCAAGGTCTTGCTTCTCAGCATCATAGCTTTCCAAGGCCCGTTGTGTCAGCCTGACCTCTCTTTGGGGCCTTGAACTTCCTTGGTCCTCTTGTGGCTGGATGGGAGGTCCCAAAAGCGCAGGACCCGGGACAGTCGCCCCGAATGGCTGCGCCCCGAGGGACGGCTCTGGTGGTGAACGACGATCGGCAAGAGTTGAGCGTCACGCGGCCCCGATGGGAACCGCGACGATAGTCGCCGGTCGCCACCAAGTGGCGGTAACGTTCCCATCGAGTTTGTACCAGGCCACGTGCACCTTGAGGCTACGTGCACCGTGAGGCTATGTGAAGTGTGGAAGGCTCGTTGCTGACAGATCACGGGACAGACCCAGGTGCCATGGGTTGACTGGCAGAGATGCACCGCCTGTGCCCCCCACTTTGCCAACTCGTTTTATTCGCCTGGCGCTCCGCTCGTTGTTGTGAGCGCCGGTCCTCCGCTGTTGTTCGAGGGCGACTGCCCAGTAGCCTCACCGTGCACCTAGCCTGGCACTGCCGAGTAGCGTCCTTCACAAGCGTCCTCCTCCACAGAGGCCGATTTTGCCACCGCTGGTACAGGTCGTCGACAAACTCAGCTCCACATCCGCGCATCCTGCCGATGGCCGCTCTCACTCGCGATCCGATCCGTGTCGCGATTCCACGCTCCTCGTGCACGCACGAATCGGATCGTCGATGCGTGAGGCTCGCCCAGGCAATCCACTCCCCCCCGTCGGTCTCTCACCAGCACGTCACGACTCTCCTTCACACTCTCAACCTCCAATTCACTCTCAACCTCACTCTCACGCCACTCACTCTCACACGACTCGCTCTCACAATCCTCCACTCTCACAACACTCACTCCATCTCACGTCACTCACTCTCCTCCACTCTCACGCCACTCGCTCCACTCCACTCACACTTCTTCTGACTTCCGCTCGCACTCTCGCGCTCACACCACTCTCACTTCCTCTCACTCTCCTCCACTCTCACTCCTCTCACTCTCCTCCCCTCTCACTCTCCTCCCCTCTCACTCTCACTACTCTCACTCTCCTCCCCTCTCACTCTCACGCCACTCACTCCACTCACTCTCCTCCCCTCTCACGCCACTCACTCTCCTCCCTTCTCCTCCCCTCTCACTCTCATGCCACTCACTCTCCTCCCCTCTAACTCTCACGCCACTCACTCTCCTCCCCTCTCACTCTCACGCCACTCACTCTCCTCCCCTCTCACTCTCACGCCACTCACTCTCCTCCCCACTCACTCTCACGCCACTCACTCCCCTCCCCACTCACTCTCCTCCTCTCTCACTCTCACGCCACTCACTCTCCTCCCCTCTCACTCTCACGCCACTCACTCTCCTCCTCTCTCACTCTCACGCCACTCACTCTCCTCCCCTCTCACTCTCACGCCACTCACTCTCCTCCCCTCTAACTCTCCTCCCCTCTCACTCTCACTCCACTCACTCTCCTCCCCTCGCACTCTCACGCCACTCACTCTCACGCCACTCTCCTCCACCCCCACCCCTCCCATGCGGCCCCCCGCCCCGTCTCGCTCCGCTCTCCTCCTCCTCGTCTCTCGCCGCGCCGCGGAGCTGCGCGACTCGTGGGGCCCGGGCCCCCCACTCCTCGCGCTGCGCCGTGGGCTCCGCGAAGCGCTGAGCCGCCACGCGGGGGGCCCTGGGGACCAGGAGAGGGGAGACGACGAGGAGGAGAGAGGAGACGACGAGGAGGAGAGAGGAGAGGACGAGGAGGAGGAGGAATGGCGTCTTTCGCGGGGACCCGCGAAGCGCGGCCTCGAGGCGGGAAGCACGGACAGAGCCCTCAAGGCAAGGAGGAAGGCGCGTGTCTTGGGGCGCACCTAGCCTGGCACAACAGCTACCGTCACCTCACCGCTACGTGGGGCCAATGGCGGTTAAGTGTGATGTGTAACCAACCATCAGCATTGGGGAGACAAAGGCGGCCGGGCGTGGTGGTCGCCACACCACCCTTTGGAGTTCGGTACCGGCCCTTATGTATGTAGGGGACTGTTTGTCAAACTTCTTTCGCACCGTAAGTAGCGGACCGTGCAATATGAGATGCTCGTTAACAACACCTCCCCCTGGAGCCCGCCCTTCAATAGAGCCTGTGTGGGGCTCTGTTATATGCAGTGTGTGCTAATAGGTGCTGTGTGTTAATGCGTACTGTGTGTGTTGTGTGTAGATTAATGCGTGCTGTGTGTGTTGTGTGCATATCAATACGTGCTGTGTGTGTTGTGTGTATATTAATGCGTGCTGTGTTATGTCTAGATTAATGCGTGCTGTGTGTGTTGTGTGCATATTAATCCGTGCTGTGTGGTGTGGCGCTGCTGCTGAACCTGGAGCGTGCACCTAAGAGGTGGGTGGGGCCTTACTATCAGCCCCACCAAAACTAGGCACCTGCCTGGGTATTTTGTGCCATCAAACACTCCACCACAGCTCCCAATTGGTGATGGCGGAGTTGTGGAGAGAGTGGAGAGTTTTCCATACCTGGGCAGTGTGCTCATGACTGGCTGCAGTTCGACCGCAGAGGGCTCACTCCAAATCAGTTGAGCGGCATCTTTTCATCGGCTGTGTAACGCTGTGTGGAAGCTACCTGGTCTGTCGCTCCACACGAAGCTTCAGGTCTTCTCCGCGAGGGTCATGCCCTACCTTCTCATTGCTTGCGAAACGTTGACCCTCCCCCCCCAATGGAACATCTTCGCCAGTTAGAAACATTTAGGTTGGCCTGCCTACGATCCTTCCTGGGTTTAACCAGGCTGGATTGTGTGAGGAGCTCACAAATCCTTAAAAGATCTGGACAAAGTCATATCGGTGGGCTCATCCGGTAGGCAAGGCTGTGTTGGCTGGGTCATGTAGCCCACATGCCCGGCCACCGCATGCCTAAACAGCATTTGTTCAGCCGGATAGAGGGGGCTAGAGAAGAGATGGAGTAATGTACAGGAGGATGTGGAGCTGAGTGGACTTGCCGATGGCTGGTACCAGCGGTGTCAAGATCTGCTTCTGTGGAGGAGGCTCGTGAAGGACGCTACTGGGCAGTTGGAGGCAGTCGCCCTTCAACAACGGAGGGCAGAGGAGCGACACAACAACGAGCGGAGCGCCGGGTGGCTAAAGCACAGCAAGTTGGCACAGTTGGGGGCACAGGTGGTGCATCAGCCAGTCATCTCAGTCAGTTGACCCGTGGCACCTGGGTCTGCCCCGTGACCTCCTGCCAACGGGCGTTCGACACTTTACGTGGCCTCAAGGTGCACATGGCCTGGCACAAGCGTCGTGGTGATGTCACCGCCACTTAGTGGCGAATGGCGGTTGTTGTTGCTATGTGGTGTGTTAATGCATGCTGTGTGTGTTATGCGGGCTATGCCATGTGACAGGTACTGGCCGTGCCGCTTGTGCTGCTGCTCACGTATTACGCGTGCCTCTGGCTGCACCCGCCCACTCAGCAGCTCGTGTCTCGGCATACGCAGCGCTGGGTCTACAATGCGCTGCGACGCGTGCGGCTTCTCACACTCCCCATCACGCGGAGATACAACCTGGCAGGTGCAGTCTCATGGGGAGATACAACCTGGCAGGTGCCACCGTGCCACCACCCTGCGGCCCATCAAGTGCAGTCACCATTGTGCGATGCACTCCCCTAGCTGTGAGGCTGTGCTGTAGCTTGCCCATCGACCGGCATGTGCGGGTGCCTCCCCACAGCGTACCACGACCAGGAGTGCCTCGTCTACAACCCCCTTTACTCGGACCCCACACCGAACTGCTCGTTCTGCGCAGCCGTGAAGAGCGTCATCTTGCTGGACGAATTCTCGAATTTTACTCAGTACTACTATGGCCAGGCTGACCCCGTGCTTGTGAAGGTAACCGCTTTGGGGCCGTGTTGCTCGAAAGGAGTGCCGCTGAAAAGCTGTCATAGAAACTCTGCGTTGTGCCACTGTCAATTCCATTTCGTCGTTAGAGAGACAACTGATCTCATCCGTTGGCTTCCTCGCGAATCCTCTTGTCGTTAGGGAGGGTTGGGGAACCTTGTCCTTACCGAGGGCCACATCGGACTTTAAAGTACCTTTGGCGGGCAGCCGTACATTAACACACACTTTTGTCCGTCTCTTCTGTCACTGAAAGATGCCCTTGCAATTGACTGGTGAATGCTGAGATCACGGTCGGTGGCATTTACAGGGCGGACAAAAGGACCACGTGGGTTTGGAAGACGTTCAGCACTTGCATGCGGTGCATGGGAAGACCCTGGACTTGCGTCCCGATGAAGTCTCCTGCAGCAACGACTCTGTGTCCAGTTTCTCCCATCTCTTCCGGCTGTTTCCCACTGAGGAGACGCTGGCTCGGAGCTCCACAACATTCCAGTGGTGTGTGTGTGTGCCTCCGTGTATATCGCTGCTCCCCAACTTCACAGCTGCCACCGTAACAATACAACACAACACAGAATGGGCTCCGATTGTTAATGCTTATTTGGCTCTACTGGTCACTTGCAACTCGAACATCAATTGACCTCTTTAAAATGTTGAAAACTTCAATTAACATTACACGTGCAAGCATTGAATTTCACACTTACTATACGGGGCTCTGATTCATTCTTAAAACTCAATGCCACATACCTGACTGGCAAGCAACAGCCTTGTTTACATCACAGTAGTTTTGTATCTTCACAACGCACATACAGTCTTTCATTAATCCACTGCTGGATGTTGGCCTCCCCATGCCATGCGGGTTGTGGGGGTTGTTTGACCATACTTCACTCTGCTGGCGAGTGTGGGTTGGTGAAGGTGGGGGATAAAGGACAAGGAGACATAACCGTGCAGTATAATAAATTATCTCACTGCACTGCCCTCTGTTGCTCACAGCATAGCTCTGTAGCCTATAACACCTTTTATAAATGGTGGCCACTCATTCAGGCACTATCCAGGCTCAAGCCTGCTTAGCTGCCAAGATTGGGCACATTACACAACATTTACAATTTGAGTACGATGTTTTGCCAGACAAATCTGGCTTGCCAGACAATTCTGGTTTACTCTCCAACACACGGTGTACTGAAGTAGTAACTAATTGGCACGTTTTGTTTATCTGACAAACCTTACTAATTGGCTGTCGGGTTTAACAACACGTTTATATTCATGTGATCTAACTAAAAAAAAAAGTTCTTATGGAGGCATTTACATTTGACCACATCTCATGGGAACCCTCAATAGTCATTTCGTTTCACGAAGGCCAGACTCCAATAAATTGGCACTAATTATTTGAAATGTCTCAACTAAATGCTTTGACTGATAAACTGACTAATCACGTTACACACACAGATCATCCACAGTCCACCATAACTGTGCATAACACATTTACTGTAATCCCTGCAGTGCGACCTGTGTGTGTGTGTGCTACACTCCTGCCTCATCCACATTTTATGAGTTTATTAGCCGCAGAAAAGACGAGGTCATAGGTCAAAAAACTCTTGAGATGTGTGCATTAGTTTTAAGTTAAGGACTTGTTACATAGCTGTAGAATGGAGCTGTGGCACAGTGGTTTTCGCACTCTGATATCAACCTAACACCCCGAGTTTGATTCCCGGCCACAGCCTACATCAGTGGCAGGTCAGATCTGTACTGGTCCTAGGCCCCCAACACCACACTTTTCAGCAATCCGCACTGACCAGCATGGTGAAGTATGGTCCAACATACTCTTTGGTTTTTTCGGTAAAGTCACGTAGGTAAGATAAAATAAAATTAAACAACTAAATTAAATCATGACGTTTCGGAGGCAACACAAGCTTCCGTCTTCAGGTGGAACAGACACAACAAAGTTCGCTGTATCAAGTGAATAGCTCTGGGACACCCGAGCTTATATACAGGTTAAGGGGGGGGGGAGGAGCCAGGAAGGGGCGTGGGTGGGGAGGGGAGGGCTAAGTTAAGCCGCCTTTTGTTATGCTGCAGGGGGTTCGGGGGGAGCGGTGGTGCACTGCATGAAAGCGGGCAAAACCCCATTTTGTTATGCTGCAGGGGGTTCGGGGGGAGCGATGGCGTGCTGCACGAGAGCAAGCACCATCCTGGTAGAAACGGAAACGGCTGTACAATTATCAGCCAGCTAACGTTTGACTTGGTTGATGACATCTTTCCAAAAGTTGCTCAATTTGAAACCATTCTCTCGGTTGAAGTTGTGTCTATGTTTGTATATCTGGATGGCTTCATGGACACATCTTTGGTAATAACCGGGAGGTTTGCATAGTACTTTGGTATCGGAGAAAATAATGTCATGAGAACCCGCTGTGTTGAAACAATGATCAGCCACGGCCGAATAATTCATTCTGCCGTGTTTCAAATCTGATTTGTGCTCGCGAATTCGGTCAGAAATATGTCGTTTCGTCTCCCCGATATAGCAGTCACCACAGGTACAACTCAATTTGTAAACACCGGGGCACTGTAAGTCAGGAATGACATCCTTTACAGATGGGATCAGATCCCGGATTTTGTGTACTGTATTGAACCGGACCTGGATCTTTTGTTTGTTTAGAATTTTGGAAATCTTTTTGGTAACACCTGCTATGTATGGCAGTGTGATGGTTTTGATCGGAGTATCAGGTGGTTGTTTCTGTATGGTGGGAGAAACAGATTGGCGGATGGTACGGTCAGAGTATCCATTCCTTTTGAGGGCCAGATGTACATGTTTTAATTCACTGGCTAGGTGGTGTTGGTCAGAAATGCAATGAGCCCTATGGTATAATGTTTTGATGAGAGAGTTATTTTGAGCCGGGTGGTGGTGGGAATCAAGTATGAATCTGTGTGAGTGGACTTTCTGTAAACAGAATGTCCCAAAGAGCCATCCGTCCTCTCAAAAAGAACATCCAAGAATGGCAGCTTGCCATCTTTCTCCACTTCCATGGTTAATTTGATGGATGGGTGTCTGGAATTTATGTGGTCTAGGAAATGGTTCAAAGCTGGGAGGCCATGTGGCCAAATGACGAAAGTGTCATCCACATATCTTTTCCACAGGGAAGGACGAAGGGTGGATGTCTGGATGGCGTCTGATTCAAATTTCTCCATTAAAACATTGGCTATCACTGGTGACAAGGGAGAACCCATAGGGGTACCCTCATTTTGTTTGTAGAAGGTATCATTCCAGGTAAAGTAAGTGTTGGTGAGGCAGTGCCTAACCAGTGCAGGTACATCAGGGTTCAGTCCATGTTGGACCAAATCTTCAATTATTGTTATGGTGTCAGGCACTGGGACCTTGGTGAACAGTGAAACCACATCAAAGCTGACAAGGATATCGTCAGGAGATAATACTGTGTCCTTGACCATAGAAACCAATTGGGTTGAGTTAAGTACCCCTGAGGTGGTCTTGCCAGTAAAGGGAAGCAGAGTATCCGATAAAAAGTGGGCTAGTTTGTAGGTAGGGGAGTTGATCGTGGACACGATGGGTCGTAGTGGGGTACCTTCTTTATGGATCTTTGGAAGACCATAGAATCTGGGATGTCTTGCAGCCATGGGTTTTAGGGAGGGACGTTTAGTTGGTTCGATTAGGGAAGTCGAACTAGTGATGATCTTGTTGGTTTTTATCGTTAGGCTGTTAGTAGGATCACTTTTAATTTTTGAGTAACTCCCATCATTGAGTAGGTCCTAGATTTTGTTGTATGAGTTTTTATCCATAATGACAGTGGCATTGCCCGTGTCGGCCGAGAGGATGACTATATCATCCCTATTTTTTTAATTCGTGAGTTCAGAGCGTTCGTTTTTGCTGTTGCTAATGGGTTTCTTAGCATATTCTTAGTTCTTTCGGTAAAGTCACGTTGAAGGGAAACAATAAAATAATAAAATATATATAAAACAATAAAAATTCTCACGATGTTTCGACCATAACACAAACGGTCGTCTTCAGGTTTCTTAGCATTAAGAATAGTGGCTATTTCAGCTCTCGCAACATCTGCTTGGATGTGTCCTATGCCTTTGAGGGCTACATCGACCTGAGAGATGATATCCTCTACTGGTATTTGTTTAGGGGTGACAGCGAAATTTAGTCCTTTAGCCAGTACCGTTTTCAGATTGTCCGAAATCGGGATGTTACTCTGATTAATAACGATTTTGTAAGCGTCCAGTTTTGTGATGTGTGGTCCTGGGTTCTTCTTTGATAGGAGGTTGAATTTAGCGATCAGGTTAGCTTTGCATTTGACTGACAGTGAATCAGCAGAGGCAGCAGTCATGTCAACGTGGTTCCAATCAGAAGGGGACATTTTTTGTGTTAACATTAAATGTGATTGTAGGAGAGTCCTGTCTAAACTACCGAGTTCAAATCGGAGTACCCTTATTCTCTCTGAGATTAGTGATAGGCTAGCATTAAACACAATCCGTTTAGAGTTTGGTGAAGATACAGCAGCAGATGTGAGTGTGAAAGCGATGGATATTACCTTGTTATCACGGCATCTTTTGAGGAAGGTTAGCGTCTCGATGAGCTGTGTCCAACATCCCCCGTAACTGACACGGAGGCATTCATCCAGCAGTGGATGGACAAATTTATATAAACAGAGCCGTACAAAAATCAGGTCGAGCATTGTGCTTTTAACTGTGTTAAAATAAATAAGTGGAGAGTGCATGATGACTGAGGTGCGGTTGAAGGAGGTGGCCAATGCCCGCGAACGGTGTTCGTTTCAGGAAGACGCAGCGGGTCGCGGGGACTCGGCTGCTGCGGGAGCTGTTTCCCCGGCCTTACTTCATCTCTCCCGACAGCGAGGTGTCTCTGCTCAAGCTGCTCATCCTGCAGGGCTCACAGGCCACTCCGCACGCCCTGGTGGGTGTGCAGCTGCGCCGGAGCTCCTTTGCGTGGATGTGTAACGTAGGGAAAGCCTGATGGTGTTGGGCATGAATTTTTTTATTTAAGAGTTTGAACGACGGCATCGATGTGCTCAGTGATTGAAACCGGCCGGGTGGCTTAGCAGTCGAGCAATCGGCTCGCAGTCGCAAGGTTGTCGAGTTCAATTCCTGGTTGGGGATTTACTCGGCCCATCATTCCTCCGAGGTAAATAAAATGCATAACACTTTGTACAAAAGTCATAGCCGTTTTCCTATGGATAGACTCACCCCACCATAGGAATGAAGAATTTCCACCACTGGCTCTTGCAAACGGGAGATGAGCACCACCTCAATGCTCAGTGAGCAGGGAATTACTTTTGAGTTTAAGTTTTGGAAATTTTCCAAAGCCAGCTTGCTGTCATATTTGGTTGCCCATTAATGGGTTCTCTGTGATATTTGTGAACAGTTTATATGCATTTTGTAACAGGCTAATGGTTCTTATATCATTATCCAAATCAATTTTGAGAGCTTTTCTCTCGGGCTATTCGCAGCGACACCACGGGAATGTATGTATGTTGAACTTATTTCACACTGGACGTAGCTAACCATGCTAATCCGAGGTGTGGATCGTCTTAAAATTGGATTAGAGCAGTAAAAGCATGAAGATAAATGTTAAAGGCTTTAACCATCCCACATTCACGGGCAGAACTGTTCCGGTCACCATCTCCCGAGGATGATTGAAGTGCCTAATGAATAAGGCTACACAGTGGAATTAAATACAAATATGAGTGAAACAAAGCTTACGTACGACAAGTTCACGAAATGAAAAAAAGTTCTTAATGCCATGTGCTAGGAATAAGGTAGTCTTCTCGAGAATGTGGCGAGTCTGGCAGAGTTATCTCACTGTAAAATACTCCGTGTTGTTGCAGGTGTTCCAGCTACAATTTTACAATGCGTGGCTGGCCATTGGCAGCGGGAGCCTGTCCCTGCACCTGACCCCAGTGCCCGCGTGCCATGCTCCCTGCCGCACCCTCTCAGTTCATGCCCAAGCTGGCGACCTTGGTTAGTACAACTCCCTCACTCATGTATGTGTAATGAGAGTGCCATCTCCTGTATTATGTGGGGCATTACTTGTTATGCAGTTATGGTTTATCTATGGTAGGGTTTATATCTGGAGCAAAGGTGGGGGGGGCACATCCACCCGGGAAGCCTCTGTAGCGTTCCCGAAAGTTCCAGGAGGGGCGTGGCCGGAGCAAGGTGTGGGGTCGGTGTTGAAGATCAAGAGGAGCTCCCCATCGCTGCTGCCCGCCATCTCCATCGGCCACGTGGCGGCTCGACCTCGAGCCGCTCAACCGCTCCCTAGCGCGCCGTCAGCCAGTGGCGTGTTAGCAAGCGGGTGAGCGCCACGTGGCATGGGGCAGCGAAGTCGCCTGGGCAGCGTAACATCCGTAGAGAGAGAGAGACAACCAAGCTGTACCGAAGATTTATGAATAAACAACGTAAAGTTCTTACCGTGTCGGAGCCACTTATTACAGTGGCGCCAAGAAGTGGACTTTTTCTGATACAGTTCTAGACAAGACACGATGTCTAAACATCAGAAAAAGAAGAATCCACCTGCAGTGTCCTCCGAAGACGACGAGATGGCGACTCAGCTCCTGCCGACCCCGGGTGCCGTGGCCCCGGTGATGGAGCTCACGACGGGTGCCGTTGTCGCACCTGCGGCAGTCAGCGCGGCAGAGCCGCTTCAACAGCTTCGCCCTGACGACCCGTGGCGGAGGGTGGAGACCCAGTTGGGCACTCTAACAACAGCGCTCCTCCACCTTGTCGCTCTGGTCACGGCGATCACCGCTGGAGGTAGTCCGATGGTGGACCGTCCGGGGGTGGACGTGCAGAGGGCCGGTGACGGTGCCTCGGAGGGTCCCCCTTTGGTGAGTATGGCCGCCATTTCGCATTTCCCGCCAAGTTCGTGTCACGGCCGCCATTTTGACCACCGCTGTGGAGAGCGGTGTGTCGGCCGCTAGTTTGTCGCTGCCGCGTGAAGTTTCGCCGTCCATCGCGACACCCGCTGCGAAGGAGAGCGCCGACCGCGGTCAACGCCTGCCCCACGTGCGCGAGTTCGTGGCAGCTGGCGGCGATTGGAGTGCCTTTTGCTGGCGCTTCGAGGCTGCCTACAAAGGAAGAGGCGCTCATTGCCTTGCCCACCATGCTGGACGATGATGCGTTGGCGGTGTTTCGCTCCACACAAGCCTTTCAGGAAATGGCAGAGGTCTACAAGCCGCCAGATGACAGAACAAGAAAATTTCAGCACTATAGGCGTGGGAGCTCAGAGTCGCCCCTTGCCTACAGAAGCGCCTTGATAGCCTTGGCAGTTGACGCATATCCCAACATAACACAGGAACTTCTAGATCCGCTGGTGATGGAACGCATGTTGGCATTGGCTCAGGAGATGGATGTCGTCCTTTCCACGTGCGGCCACGAAATGAAGACATCCTTGTGGGCCGCGCGTTGCCTCAACGCACATGAAAATTTGAAGCGCTGGGCGCAGATGGCGGCGTGGACGGGGGATCCAGCTAAGGATGGTCAACCCATCGGCTGTCGAAAGTGGTCGTCATTCCCGAGGAGGCGCCATCGACAGGCGACGTTGCAGCGGCTGTCCCTCACTGGATTCGGCGCCCTAAAGATGGTCGACGTCGCCAAAACACCTACCGACCGCGACAGGACGATGATTTGCTCCACCAGCGGCCTCCCGTCACGTGTTACAGATGTGGCCGTGTGGGCCATTACTCCAGGGAGTGCCATGCTCGTCGTGCGTCGCCGTCTTGATCACCGACCGCGTCTCCTGCAGCTGGCCGTCTGCCTTCACGTCCCTCCATACAAGCGAGTTGGCACATGTCGGGCACCCGGGCACGTTCGCCATCTCATTCATCTCATGCTACCGAGACAGGTGCATCGCAATAGGACGGTTCGTTAAATTGTTCGTGTTCGCGTACCATAGCTAATGGCTGGCCAGTTTCGCAGACGCAGTGGAAAAAATTTGCTCGACGGGTGGTTGCCGCAGCGGTAGGATCGTCGACGGTGACGGCCACTGTTCAGGGGGTTGATGTCCGCGTTTTGGTTGATATGGGGGCGTCTGCCCCTGCGTACGTTGGCCGTGCCGTGCTTGCTAGGCACTGACCTTTTGTCGAGAATGCCGCTTAAGATTCTTGTGGGTCAGGGATGTCTGGAATTGCCGTCGGGTCGTAAATTGCGGTTTTTGTTATCGCCGCTTCCACGACCTGCCTCCTCGGATATGGTTCAGGCTTTGGTTGATGCCACCGTTACGGTTCAATCAGGTTCCCAAATGTTGATTCCGCTCCGTTATCGAAAGAAAATCTCTTGCGATGTCGGGGTGAATGGTGTTTTATTGACGCCTTCAAATACTGCTACGCGAGGGTTGACATTGGTTTGTGCTCAAACCATTCTCAGAATGGGTCAGGCCCCAATTCTGCAGGTTTTGAATGGGGGCCCTGGCGATGTTATCGTGCCCACGGGTACTGTTCTCGCTCACGCTACCGCCGCATTTACCGATCGTGCGGAACATACGCCAGCGCAGGCTGTCTGCTCTGTCGGTGATAAATTTCCGTCGGACGATCGATGGATCGCCGAATTGTGTGGCGAGAATGCGTCTCTGTCTCTGGCTCAGTGTAAGGGGTTGTGAGTGTTGTCCAAATTTTCCGATGTGTTCAGCAAGGACGACTTCGACTTGGGTCGGACATCCTTGTTCCATCGTATTGAGACGGGTGATGCTAGCCCCTTTCGGTTGAACCCACATCGTATGGGGCCGTCAAAAAAAGAGAGCGTGTGGTGTGCCGTGGATGACATGTTGGTCGCTGATATTATTTCGCCATCCACTAGCCCATGGGGCGCCCCGGTAGTTTTGGTTAAGAGAAAGGATAGCAACCTCCGGTTTTGCGTGGATTTTCGCCACCTGTATAAGGTCTCCGTGGCAGATGCGTATCCTTTGCCTCGGATGGATGATTCCTTGGATGCTTTGTCCAGTGCGCGGTTCTTCTCTACACTGAACCTCTCTTCCGGCTTTTGGCAATTGTCCCTCGAGTCTTCGAGGCAGAAAACCGCGTTCCGTACCCCGCAGGGTTTTTATTTATTTAACTGTTTGCCCATGGGATTGAATGCCGCTCCTGCCACGTTCCAGACACTCATGGAACTTGTCCTGGCTGGTCTCCAATGGGACACTTGTCTCATTTATCTGGACGACGTCATCGTGTTCAGTCGGTCGTTTGATGACCACCTCCTCCGACTTCGCGCTGTTTTTAAGCGCATGTATTCCGCTAATCTCAAATTTAAACCTAAAAAAATGTCACCTTTTACAGACTTCCGTGCGATACCTGGGTCACGTTCTGAGTGCCAACGGTATTTCGACCGATCCGGCAAAGACGGCGTGTGTTCGCGATTGGCCGGTCTCTGCGAGTATAGGGGATGTTCGGAGCTTCATTGGGTTCGCCTCCTATTACCGGTGGTTCATTCCTGGGTTTGCGTCCATTGCTAAGCCGTTGCATGCGCTTACGGGCAAAAATCAGAGGTTCCACTGGGGTCCGGAGGAGGAGGCTGCATTCAATGCCTTGCGTACTAGCCTGTCTGAGCGCCTACTCTTGACTACCCTGATTTTTTGTCCCCCTTCATCTTTGACACTGATGCCAGTGACACGGATATTGGGGCTGTCCTGTCGCAGGTGAAGGGGGGCGTCGAGCATGTTGTTGCATATGGTAGTCAGTTACTTTTGCCGGCAGAGACCCGTTATTTTGTCACTCGTCGGGAGCTGCTCGCGATCTTTCATTTTGTGAAACTTTTTCGGCCTTATATGGTAGGAAGTTCATTATACGCACTGATCATGCGGCCCTCCAATATTCCTTGAAGATCGGGCAGCCGGGAGGTCAGTTGGCACGTTGGTTGGAGTGCTTGCAGGAATGCACATTTGACGTCAGCTACCGGAAGGGGACTCAGCATGCCAATCCTGACGAGTTGTCGCGGTTGCCTCATGCATCTCGATGTGCGTGCCAATCCGGTACAAACCGCTGTTCTCCTCCTGGCGCGTCTCGGCCGTTGGCCGTGTCCTCAGTTGAGACGCTTCCGGATGATGCGGCAGTTCCCCCTGCCATCTCTCGCGGTTGGTGTGGATGCGTGAACAATTCTCTGACACATCTTTGACCTCTTTGCGTGATCAGGCCGTACCGTTTGCAGGTGATTTGGGATCTGTTAAGGAGGGCCATGTTTTTGTTCTTGATGGATTGTTGATGTGGCAGGATAATATGTCGCTTTGGCTGAGATTGGTTGTGCCAAGTTCTCTACGTGCGGGGTTGGTCCGCACGTTGCACTCTGAACGCCTTTTCCATCTTGGCGTTCAGAAAACGTTGCTTACCCTTCAGAGGGATTATTATTGGCCGGGTATAATGTCTGACGTCATTGGAGCGCTTCGCTCATGCACCGAGTGTGCCTGGTGGAAGTCACCCCGGCAGCGTTACATTCCGCCTTTGCAGTCCATCTCTGTCATGCGCATCAATGAATTGGTTGCATTGGATGTGTTGGGCCCGTTCCCCGTGACGCCTCGTGGGAATAAATGTATTCTCGTTGGCGTCGAATATTTTTCCCATTGGCCGGTGGCGTGGCCCCTGCCAGATCAATCCGCTTTGTCCATCGTTGACGCCTTCGTGAATGGCTATATGATGGATAAAGGGGCGCCGGAAAAGTTGCTTACCGATCAGGGTAGGAATTTCACTTCTAAATTGTTTAGTGTACTATTTTGGTTACCAAGAAGATTTCGACATCTCCCTACCATCCTCAGACGGATGGTATGGTGGAGTGTCTAAATCGTACCTTGTCCGCTATGTTGTGCCAGACTGTTAATGACCGACAGGTCGACTGGGATCTGAAGATACCCAGCGTCCTCTCTGCCTACCGGATGGCGCCTCACGCTTCTACGGGATATTCGCCGTTCTTCCTCATGTATGCAAGGGAGAACGTACCACCTGTGCTGCCTCCTAAGTCGACTCTTCCAGATCACATCTGCAAGTCCCTTCTACGTGTTTCCGAGGCTCGGGAGGCTGCCAGAGTGAATACCAGGCTCGGAACGAGCGTTGTGCGCGGAGGCCTAAGTCGGACATGCCATAGTCAGTGGGGGATCTGGCGTGGCTTCAATGCCCGCAGGTGCCCGTTGGCACCTCTCCTAAGCTCCACAAACCATGTCAGGGGCCCGTTACGATCGTTGAAGTTTTGCGCCCTCAGTGTTTCCGTGTTCGTCACGGTCGCCGGAGTTGGTTCGTTCACCCGTCACGATTTAAAACATTCGTTGCTCCCGTGGGGCCATCGTCATCCCCAAATCCCGGAATGCCAGTGCCTGACGTGGCCAACAGGCCTGCTGCTCCTGTGCAGGGTGATCTTCCGGAGTCTGTTTCTTTACCACCCACAGCGCCCCTAATTGACACGACGGGAGGGGAGGAGACCGCTGTTTCATCTGATCCACCTGTGCTGAATCCGGCGGTGTCGCCCCCTGTTGGACCGCTGCTTCCACCGGCTGGAGTTCTCCTTCCGCCCCTGGCAGATGGGCCGGCTATGCGGACACGCTCTAAAATGTCGCGGTTTTCCTGAAGCATTTTGGGTCCTGCATTGCGTGTTGCTATTTTCTCTTACATTGTTTGTTTAAAGTTCCGTTTCTTCTCCTCAGTCAAATGGTGTTACACTTCGTGGTTGATGGCGCTCTATATTATGTTTTACCTTTCCTTAGCCAGGACGGCTAGATTTTTTTTTATCATGGGGGGTGGGGGGGGGGTGATGTAATGAGAGCGCCATCTCCTGAATTATTTGGGGCGTTACTTGTTATGCAGTTATGGTTTATCTATGGTAGTGTTTATATCCGGGAAGCCTCTGGAGCATTCCCGAAAGTTCCAGGAGGGGCGTGGCCAGAGGCGGGGCTTAGCCGCCGGGGAGGGCATATAAGCGGGGGCCAGAGCAAGGTGCGGGGTCGATGTTGAAGATCAAGAGGAGCTCCCCGTCGCTGCTGCCTCGCCATCTCCATCGGCCACGTGGCGGCTCGACCTCGAGCCGCTCAACCACTCCCTAGCGCGCCGTCAGCCAGCGGCATGTTAGCGAGCGGGTGAGCGCCACGTGGCGTGGGGCAGCGAAACCGCCTGGGTGGCGTAACATTCGTAGTGAGAGTGAGAGAGAGACAACCAAGCTGTACTGAAGATTTATTAATAAACAACGTAAAGTTTTTACCGTGTCGGAGCCACTTATTACATATGTATATCTGTATGTTGAACTTCTTTCGCACCGTACGTAGCCAACCGCACTAATCGGGGGTGCGGGGGAAGGACAACAAAGGCTCAGTGTGGTGGCCAATGCAATCAGAAGCAGAAGTTATAAAAACAATAACCTTTGCATGTGTAGTGGGTATTGTTAGCGTTACACGTGGTTACCACTACTTACCCGGTGTAGCGTCAGCCATGGGTCAGCAGGGGGCAACGGCAAATGCGGCCTGTATCAAGTAACGCCGTTAGGCCAGGGAACCCAGAGGGCGGTTGGGAATCGGAGGTATACACCCCAGGCCCCCAGTGGGGGCTGGGGGATTACGCAATAGTTGAGGTCCCTCCGAAAGGTTCCAGAGAGTAGGCGTGGCCAGGGGCGGAGTGACCTTGGGAGCTGTATATAAGGCGGACCCCTGAACGGGTTTGCCAGTCGTCAAGCTGAAGACTGAAAAGCCAGCTTAGACTAGGACCCTGGGAACCCCCGGACCCGACGTCCTTCTAAGGGCCGGGACCGAGTGGGCCAGTGGCCGGGACCCGAGGACCTTGGCTGGGTCGGGTCAGCTAGCCTCCCCTAGGTCCCCCTAGCCAGAGGGTTGATATATATATAGAGGAAGTGGTCCCAGTGATTAGGACACACTAGCCCAGAGTCTATACCTCCCCAGGGTATCAGGTGGAAGGGACCGATACCCCTTTGTGTCAGGGACCTTGTGTTAACGTTATAGTTGTTATAAGTAAACGTGTTGCCTCCAGAGAAGACTGAGTCTCCATCATTACCACTACACATGTATAGTGGTGCTTGCTTAAATGCCCCAGTATCTGAACGCCCCTTGCATATTAATTTGAATATTTGGAAATCCAAAGGTTATTGGATATCCCAATATCAAAATGTTTCAATTTAAAGTCATAATTTTTCTCTCATCACAAATAATGATGTAGTACACAAACACTTGAGCTACTGCGGTGTAACATTGAGCAAACTCGTCTTTTAATCCAGAGGTCACCGGTCGAGTTAATTTTCCAAGGCGGGAGTTGAAACGATGTGCCAAGTTCTTAATCTCCCCCCCACCTCTGTCCACCCAAGAGTACAAATGGGTACAGTGCAGTAAGGTGATCGGCAGGTCAAGTGTGATGGGGAATGTGTGGGTCCTTCCACTCTTGCAGCATGGAAGAGGAGGCTAAATAGCCTCTATACGGGCTCTCTAGAACTCCCTGCAGTGGAATTCCTTCTGCCAGCAGAAACGTGACCAGGAAATTACAGAGCTCCGCCTTTAAAATATTTAACCACCAGCCTCCTATACACTGCAGAATCTTACGTGTCCAGTGTGAGGCTTGTCGTGTGCAGTATGCTACCCCAACCATGCCTCCTGCCTCTGTCCACCCAGCAGCAGGATAAGCGGGTACACCGCAATTGGTTGATCGACAGGTTGTCTGTGTTGGTCGGGTTGAGTGTGGGTATGCCCACCTTTTGCTACCTCGTCTGGTCAACGTGGAAGAGTAGGCCAAATACCCTATAAGGAGGCCTTTCCACCAGCACACTGGACTTGTAATCCAGGGGTCACCGGTCAAGTTCATTTTCCAAGGGCGGCAGTTGAAACAATATGGCAAGTTAAATTTTGACTTAAAGCTTTCTAAACTGCAGGGATTCATATTCTTGGTTCTTTCGGTAAAGTCACATAGAAGGGAAACAATAAAATAATAAAAATCTAAAACAATAAAATTATCACGACGTTTCGACTGCAACACAAGCAATCATCATCAGGTGTGAAAAGCACAGCAAGAAAATTTGTAAAAAAATTGTTGCTGTAGAACCAAGAATATAACATGGCAAGTTATTAATCTCCCCGCCTCTGTTGCATGTGCAAGGAGTTGCTGGCTGCCAAGTATAGACAAAAAAATGTGGCCATGGTGCCCATGTCCACGCCTGTATACGAAAGTGCGGTTTACCAGTGTGCTACCCCTCGGCGTGCAGTCTATTACAGCACCGAGTTCTGGAGGGCAGCCGTGGTTCCCAATGGAGCCGATCCATGCATCTCCTTCCTGGCGTCCTTCTACTGATCCTGTGCAGAACGCGTTCGGCGATGGGATCTTGAGGACCGCACTCGGCAGCAGGTCCATGTCCTGCTGCCATACGCCCTGCTGCCGCACGCTCTGCAGTCAGCGATAGGGAGCAGGAACTGGGGTCGCGTCTCAAGTGAAGATTCGCTGCACGTCAAGCATCCCCAGGGAGATTTCTTGAATTGAACGACGGTGTACGGGCTTGGAAAACAGAGACAATGGTGGGGAATTCAAGTTATAGGTAAAAATAATAATACATATGCATCAATTACATGTGTAGAGGCGTTATTGGAGTCACCATGGCATGGGCGCAATCTACTGACACAAGCCTGTAACCACGCGTCTTGTGCCTCTGGCATTGGCGTAGGCATGGCAGGGAAGCGGGCCCTAGAGGGCATAGTCCCATTGACAAGCAGAGAGAGGGCACGTGAGGACGTGACAGTCTGCGTGAACCCGAGAGGGCACGTGACTGGCGCGGGGTAGTAAGGGGGCCCAAAAGGGGGCTTGAGGGACACGTGATGCATTCTCCAGATCTTTCTGGAAAGATCCAGAAGGGGGCGTGGCCGGAGGCTGAGCGAGGCCACGCTCGGCAGCATGTAAGGGATGTCCCAAGAGCAAGTGAGCCTGTCTTTTGAAATCAACTCGCCATACTACGTCTCCTCGTCGTTGGTCGTCACGTCGGTCTTCGGGCATCAGTCGTCACGTCAATCTTCGGTCGTTACGTTCGGCATCGTGGGTCAGGCAGACGTTCCTGACCTAACCCATTTATATAGTTACCCTGTAAGGGGCCAGTTAACAGTGTTGAGTGTTACCATGTTGAGGGTCTAGCTAACTATGTGTACGTTTAGGATGTTACCCGGTTAGGGTTGTTAATAAACGTTGTGCCTCCAAACTCTAGTGTGTGCCTCCGTGGAACCATTACACATGTGTAGTGACGTAGAATGAGTCACTAGAGTGCTTGGAATGGAATGCTCGAAGAGAGGAGGACTATAGGTATAGTAGCCCGGTCTGCCAGTGAGACACGAGGGGAGAGCCTGGAATCTCCTAGTGGGATCCAGAGGGGGGCGTGGCCGAGGGCGGAGTCAGGCCACGCCGGGGAGGATAAAAGGGAGGCTCCGACACTCAGTCGGGGCTGCTGTTGTCTGGGAAAGGAACTTGTCGTGTTGCCGTAATCCTCGTCTTCACATCCTCAGCGTCGCTGGTCGGGTTGCGTACGGACCGTGGGTAGATATCCCCTGTGATTATATGTTCATGTTTTTGTTTGTTCCGGTTGCACCCGATTCAAGAGCCGAATGGCTCACAGGGCTATACCAAATAAATGGAACTATTAACTATGAACAGAATAAAGGATGTGCCTGCAACTTTTAGTGTGTCCAGATTGATACACTACACATGTGTAGTGGGTTCAGGTCAGCTAACACGCTGCCTGGCTCCCGATGTCTTGTGCGAAGCCCGAAGACTGAAGACTTGGCCGGCGGATTCCATTCCCAGGGACAGCCCCTCCTGCTTCCCGCACAGGGCTTTTATGGGATCCGGCGTGGCCGGGCTCCGTCCCTGCCCACGCCCCATTCTCGATCCTTCTCGAGGACTCTGGTCCCACATCACGTGTCCCTCTCGTCCCTTTTTGGATGCCCCCTTTCCACCTTGTCTGGTCACGTGCCCTCTCGGGTTCACCAAGAGCACTATGTCCTCGCCTGCCCTCTCTCTCACCGTCACCAGGGCTTTGCCCCCTAGAGAGCCCTTCCATGGCATACTCTGGTGCTAGAGAGAGGCTCCGCACATACAGTACCCCTCTTCACTCGGTACTGTCGCTACACTATAGTGACACCTTTTATGTCACTACACATGCACTGTTCCTTTATCCAGCCGAGGATTGATCGTGGCAGATGATGACTGAGCCAGCGGGATCTGGTAAAGCAGGTGAACTGCAGAGATGCTGCCTGGTTTGTATTGGCATCCCAGGCGCGCTCTAAGATTGTCAGGTGATGGCATCACTGTTTAGTGTTGGTAAGTAAACTGTGGTGTGGTGGAATGATAAGCTTTGTTGGGTGTGCGTTGTGGAGGCCCAGGCATGTGGAGTTTGTACATTTCTGTTAAGGTATCGTTAGTTGTGCAGGATTAGGAATGGCCGATTGCCGAAGGCAGCCAATAGGGTGGTCTCTGCGAATCGGATGGTGCGGGGAAGGTCAGGGCAGATCCTGGAGGTCGCTGCTGTGTGCTTACTTCACAGTGGCTGTGGGATCTGGCGGAGGGTAGAAAGTGTTAGCGAAGTGTGGTGGTGGTGGCGGCATCGATACCTTTGGCACAATGCCATCTTGATCTTGAACAGTGGAATTAAAAACGTTTCCTTCTGCCCTCTAGTGTCAGGCGGGGGGGGGGGGGGGCAGGGGGGAGTGTTGGATTCAGAGAGGAGGGATAGAGTCATGTGGCATGGATTATGGAGCTAGGAGCAGGATCGTGAGAGATGCGAGACCCGAATCTAAACTCCCTCCAGGAGTTTGGAGGCTGAAGCTCACACGAGCCAGTATGTCTGCATTTTCTCACGTCGGGCTCATCAACTTTTGTGGCATTCCGTCATTGGGTTCTTCACTTTTTGTGTAAACGTTTTAGAAAATAGCACTATTTGTGTTCCAACAACACTTGTCTCAACCTTGAGTTGAAGCTTTCGTGACAGCAGGAATCCATACTCTTTGGTTCTTTCGGTAAAGTCACGTAGGTAGAAAAATAATAGATCACGACGTTTCGATCGCAATACAAGCAATCGTCATCAGGTGGGACAACCAGAGCAAGAAAAAACTGCTGAAGTAGGCGAGAGAGCTGCTGTGGCACGAGGTTATATAGGCCTCGGCAGTAGGGGTGGAGAGAGAAGGGGGTGGGGAGGAGGCGGGGCAGAAAATAAACCCTGCAGAAGCACCCGGGTCACTGGAGTAAAGTGGGCTACCACTTTACGAATCTCCGTATTCTCCGGAGATTCGTAAATATACGCCATCTGGCCGAAAGCCTGCATGAGGGTGGACCGTTCCGGCGGTGGGATGGCGAAAACGCCGCAAGGGCATTGTCGTCGAGGGCAGCAGGCAACGCCCGCAGCGCCTCCACCTCTGTCCATCCCGCCAAATCGGCATTCGTGAGGAATCGCCGCTTGAAAGCCACCCAGTCACCACTGGTAGCCGCGAACTCCTTAATGAAGGGAATCTGATGTCGGAGAGCCGGGATGTCCATTGGCACCGATGGCATGCCTTCAATTTTGGCGGGCTGCGTGCTATGCGCCGGCTACAAAATGGCGACCGAAAGCGCGGGCTGCGCCGCCGAGTTTCCCGCCTGTTGCGAAATGGCGGCGGAATCCCCATCTGCGAGCGGTATCGCCGCTCCTTCCTTCACCGGTGAGACCGCTGGACTGATCTCCGCGAGGAGCGAAGCAGCAGCGTGGAGGAGCTCTGCGAGGCGGCCGTGCGCCTCCCGGTGGGATGCCTCTGCCGACGGAGAAGCGTCGAGTGGCTGGCTGGCGCCCTGCTCCGCTGGTAGCATCTCCACCGCATCTTCCAGAGCTGTAGGCAGCACGAGCTCCTCGTCCTCGCTGTCCGACGTCCTGGTACGTGGTCGGCGACGTGTAGACATAGTCTACTGCGAGCTGTATAGACTAGCATGTTGGCCACTTCCAACATCAGTTTTTATTGTTACATCAACCCGCTAACACAAAGGGGTAACTGCCACTTCACCAGATACAGCCTAGGGTGGTGACCACCCAGCTAACTACCCTATACAGAGGAGTTACAGCTACGAAGGGTCTGACCCTCACTCGGGTCCCAGCCATATGTTGATGTCTGTAGAGCTTCCAGTTTGTAGGACGTAGAGCTTCCAGCTTGTAGAATACAGCGACCCCGGTCCCTCTCAGGGACCCACCTTTTATCCTCCTGGGTCAGGGCCACTCCGCCCTTGGCCCCACCCGAGCGTTCTAGCTCCCTCCCGATCCCCTTCGAGGGCTTTCCCCGGACACGTGGAGATCCCCGAGCACCCCCACGTGGGGCTCTCTCTGTGGACACTCTGGATCACGTGTCTACGGGGTCAACCAGAGTGACATTGCCTGGGGCAACCCTGCCCCTGGGCTGACATTCTCCCACTCCCCCTGGTGGGAGCCCACACTACATGCTAAGCATGGTGCCCACGCTATCCCAGCGCTCACCAAGCCGAGCTAGGGCTGGTACTACACCCGCCTACGGGGTGTACGCCGTGCTGTGCTAGAGCCGGCTTCACACAGCAACCCACCTGGTGCTGTCCGCGATGTAGGGACATCGCACGCCACGGCCCTCTCGGGCCGGTACCATAGAGTGACATCCCTGATGTCACTACATAAAGATAATTATTGACGGACTCGGAGATCTCTGCTGACAAACCCGAACTAATCATAAGCACACTGCCCAGGTATTTTAACACCTCTCATCATTTCACAACACTCCCCAAGAGTGATGGGGCAGTGTACTCACAAATCTGGACACAGTCCCATCATCAGTGAGCTCCTTCGGCAGGAGGACGGATGTGGTTGCAGGAAGATGTGGAGCTGAGTGGATTTGCCAATGACTGGTACGAGGGGTGTCAAAATCAGCCTCTGTGAAGGAG